ACAGTGGCGCGACGGCGCACTTGTGTTGTGACGCGCGAAGTTTCGAAAAACTTAACGAACGTAATTGCGGAACTTTAAATCTCGCTAACAACTCTACAACGGACATTTCTGGCGAAGGACTAGTGCGGTTCAAATCAAATGTGCGTGGCAAAGAGACTGTGGTGACACTTGACGAGACATTATTCGTGCCTGATCTACGGACGAATCTTCTTTCGGTGAGCAGAATTGCGGATCGGGGCTTCAGCGTGAATTTTCGGAAAAACGAGGCAACAATTGCGGACTCAAAAGGTAAAATACACCTTGTTGCCAAAAGGGTCGGGGATTTATTCTTTGTAAGCGAGGACGAGCACGATGCTCGCGTAGCATTCTCGAAACCGATCGACAGCGATGACGTCATATCGCTTGAGCTGTTGCATAAGCGATCGGGACACGCGAACGCGAAGGATTTGTTGAGTGCCGTTTCGCAAAATGTCGTACGCGGAGTTCGCTTAAAACCTAACAGTGGCAACTTCGAATGCGTGACATTTCTTCAGGGGAAGATGATAAGGACCCCGTTTCCCAAAAAATCGAATCGGAACACAGAGGTGTTGGATATGGTACACACTCATATTTGCGGGCCCATGCGAACCGAATCTCTAGGCAAGGCCAGGTACTTTATCGAGTTCATCAATGAAAAGTCGAGATGGACAGAAGTTCGCTTCTTAAGATACAAAAGCGACGCACTTCAAGCGACTAAGGATTTCATCACGCTGATGGAAAATCAAAAGGGCAGGACAGTTAAGTGCCTTCAGTCCGATAACGGAGGCGAATATACGGGGGGCGAATTCGATGCTTACCTGAAGTCCAAAGGCATCACCAGAAGGTTGACCGTTCCTTACAACACGGAACAGAATGGAGTCGCGGAGAGGAAGAACCGGACACTGTTGGAAACGGCAAGATGTCTTCTCTTGGATGCCAGGTTGCCTGACTCATTCTGGGCAGAGGCGGTTAACACCGCGAACTAAGTTAGAAACAGGCTGCCGGCGAAAAATCTAGATGACAAAATCCCATTCGAAGTGTGGACCGGTAAGGTGCCGAACATCTCGAACTTTAGGGTATTTGGGTCAAAAGTCTATTACCTGAATCGCGAACCGGATAACAGAAAATTTTCTCCCCGAGGAGAAGAGGGGATTTTTCTCGGATAGGACGACTCTCACAAGGGGTATCGCATTTGGTCTCTTAAGAAACACAAAGTCATCATCAGCAGAGACGTGAAGTTTTTAGAAGATTCTTCGAACGAACCCCGCGAAATTGAAGTCGATAGATGTTGCGAGGAAGTGAACTACACGAAGAAATTTGTCGACATCAGATTTCCTGCTCGCGAGGAGCGAGAGATTCCTGAAGAAGTCGACGAGAATTTAGGCGCAGATCCCATACTAGAAAGCCCACCTCCATTAATGCGGAAATCGAGGAAGTGACGCGAGATGAACCGATCCCGATCGACGACGACGGCGACGAACCACCTCAGGTGCAGCCCCAGACACAACGAGGACCTGGTCGCCCTAAGATCGTCAGAACTAGAGAGAGGGGACGACCCAGGAGGGAATTCAATCAAGTGCCGAGGCCCGAATCGAATGGGTTACTTTCTGAAATTTCGATGAAGGAAGTTTTGAACGGTGCAGACGCGGATGAATGGCGCGACGCCATCGTGTCTGAAATGGCATCCGTTCTGATAAATGATACCTGGGTGGTCGTCGTCGTCCCCGAGGACAGAAAGCCATCGGCAGTCGACTCGTCCTACGAAATAAGTTGAAATCAGATGGGACACTCGAGAGAAGAAAAGCTCGCCTGGTAGCACAGGGCTTTAGCCAACGCCCTGGTGTCCACTTTACCCAAACATTTGCCCCGGTTGCCCGTTTCTCATCAATCAGGGTCATGGCCTCCTTAGCGGCTCGTTACGGAATGCGTATCAGGCAATTCGACGTTGCTACTGCGTACCTAAATGGTGAACTTGAGGAGGCGGTGTACATGGAGGTGCCCAAGAATTTCGAAGGCATATTAGCTGACATCCTGGAGTCCGATTGCGATAGTGCGGTTAAACAAAAGGCCGAGAAGATGCTAAAGACATACCGTAAGGGGAACAAGGTCTGTCTCCTGAAGAAGGCCTTATACGGATTACGTCAAGCAGGAAGAAGTTGGAACCGCAGATTGGACGAGGTGTTGCGAAATTTGGGCGCACGACCGACAGTTTCAGATCCCTGTTGTATCATATCGGTAAAGGGGAAGATTTAGTCGTGATTGGGGTGTACGTGGACGACATCTTAATCGCATCAAAACACCAACGCACGATTGGCGACATAAATAGAGCTCTCACAAAAGAGTTCGACATCGTGGACTTAGGCGACGCCAAATATTGCCTGGGAGTCGAATTCGAGCAGAGAGGAGGTTGAGTGGTAATAACTCAGAAATGTCACCTTGACAACATCCTGAACAGGTTTGGCATGTCCGAATGTAAGCCTGTTGCCACACCCGTCGACATAGGCTCAAAGCTTTTTAAGAAAGACAATCAAAGCGAAGAAGATCTCAAGCTTCCATACCGAGAATTGGTGGGTGCACTGACCTATTTATCAACAACAACCAGACCGGACATTGCTTTTGCGGTAAGCAGATTGGGTCAGTTCAATAACTGTTTTGGGGAGGAACACTGGAAAGCTGCGAAAAGAGTTCTCCGCTACCTGAAGGGGACCTCCAAATTGGGACTGACTTTCGGATCGAAACTGAGTCCGTTAACAGGATTGGTGGATGCAGATTGGTGTAACTGTCCCGACGATAGAAGATCTTTCACTGGATATGTGTTTCTTCTGAATAGTAGCCCGGTCTCGTGGGATGCCAAGAAACAGAGGACTGTGGCTCTCTCTTCGATGGAGGCCGAGTACATGCCTCTATCCGAGTGCGTGAAAGAAGCAATGCACCTAAAGCGACTTTTGCAAGAGCTAGCGTTCGGGACTATTTCTGACGTTACTGTTCGTTGCGACAATAAAAGTGTGCTGAAACTAGCGGAAAACACGGTTTTCCACGCGCGTAGTAAACATATTGACATCCGTCATCACTTTCTGCGCGAGACCCTAAGTTGAAGTTGGACTACGTGTGTACTGAAGAACAAGTGGCGGATTTCCTGACCAAAGGACTGCCGAGAGCGAAACATGTCGAAACGGTTTGAGTGTTCTAGGCTAGAGGACTAAAGTGCGGTTACTCGCGACCCTTGAACACGAGGGGAAGATTTTGGAAACATAGATGGAGCGCGTGTTCGGCGGTAGTCTGCGCGACTGCGCCAGCGATGACCTAGCCATGACGAAGACGAACGTCACACTAATGGCTGGTCGGTTATCCGCGCGCGTGTGTCCAAGTTCACCGTAACAAGGTGTTGCTCGTGTGAGGTAGGCATCGTGGTTTGTAAATCAGCTCTTAAGACATACTCCTACAGGATCTCTAAGCGACGTCTTATGACGAAGTGCGATGAGGTGTTTGATTTATTTATAAAAAATATATTTTTCTGTTACATAAGCTGAGGTGCATACAGTAATCTCACAACCATGAGCCGTAGTCATCTTAAAATGTTGTTAAGTAAATCCCACTTGTAATTTGCAGCATGATATGCTGCCTTGCCCATGGTAGAAGGAGACATGGTATAGGCATACGCATCGGGTGTGACGTCAAGTGGGGTGAAATTAGCGCGAAATTTAAAATACAATTCGTTATCCGACAACTAATTGACGTATTGGACAGAGCAATGACAACTCAAGCTGAAATTCCCTAGACTTCCCTAGCGAAACTCACAAGAGTCACAAGGTCGTTGATGCCACCTAACGTCACAAATGGATGCGCAGATCATTTTTAAATTGGTACATCGGATGCCTATACCATGTCTCCTTCTACCATGGCCTTGCCTATGGTTTTATAATGCACTAGTTTTGTAACTTTACGCATATGGGTTTTCCTTGAAAAAAAAAATAATTTCTATCACTAAGTTTTACAATTTATCTAAGAAAATAATTATTAATAACGGATTTCTTTGAAATTTTTGGAAGACACTAACATTGGCTTGGGGATTGCAGGACATTAATGGACCTATCTACTGAATAGTCGTAAACACGAACAGACCGAGGATTACTGCATGTTAGTGAGAGACAGAGGTTTGCGTATAACATCTTCACCGCAATTTTTAAAACAGCGAATCAACATCGTGCAATTTAAAACGCTTGGTGGCGATCGGCATCCTCGAGAGGCAACTGAGTCATATCGGTTTGTCTTGCATTTCTTTGACATAATGAACGTAAACAAACAACTACAGCACACCTACACGATCTGCCACGTTATATCCGAGAACGCTGCCTGTCTCGTTCATTGTCAGACTTTTGAATTACGCGGTAACTTTACACATGGTGACTGCGCATGCTATATTAGGGTGTATCTTTTACGACTATTCAGTAGATAGATCTAGTGTCTCTAGATTTCTAAAATAATTCTAAAATCTAGGGACACTAGATAGATCCATTGAAACGACGGCATCTGTAGATTTTGTTCAGTAAATCTTACGTTAGCAAGACCTCGATAAGCAATGAAGGTTCAAATTGTGTTAGCTCTGTTTCAACACGTTTTACATAGGCGTACTGGCTTTGAAATAAACGAAAATATGGGGCAACAATGTAAAAAAGTATTCCTTGTGGAAGTAAGCCTCGTACTTTGTAAATCAGTTCATAAGACATACTCCTACAGGATCGCTTAGCGATGTCTTATGACGAAGTGGGATGAGGTGTTTGACTTATATAAACATTTTTTTTTTCTTCGACATTAGCGAAAATACATAAGAACATAAGGTAATCTCACAACCATGAGAGTTTTTTTTTTTCTAAAATCGACGTGGTAAGATGATTTCCTTTGAATCGTATAAAAATTAATTTAATGCGCCATCTGAAAGTTATTGGGCAAACTACACCACGTTGTTTTTAATAAGATTTTATTTAGTACAGATTCAAACCAAGAAAATTCGAGCTCTTGGCTAAAATTATCGACTTTTTACTAATTTCAAACATGACCCATAAGTACAAAATCCCGCGTAATAATATCGACGTTGTATGCCACGATTTCTTATGAAATCGCGACGTGCTATGGCTGTTTTCATCATTATTATTATTATTATTATTCTTATATATTCGACAGGGCGAACCCCATTTATGGAATATATTTCTGTTTAATTCAAACCGATTCAAACTTTAATTTCTTAATGGTACACATATTTGTATTAAAAATGTCTACCTGACGGTTAAGCCAGTTACCTATGTAACACAATCTGTACACGGGTGAAAACTTCAGAACATTCGTTCTAGGTGTTGGTAACGCAAATAACTCCGGTTTTCTAGATATAAGTAATCTAGGACTTCCATTAAAACATATTCTTCTCAATATGTCATGACAATCTAATCTGTTATTAACAACCTTATAAATAGTGAGTGCCAAAAATAATTTGTTACGGTTTTCTAATGCTGTCATAGAATATCTCTCCAAAAGCATAATTTGTGGAAATCCAACTGGAGGATACGTTCTCTCCTCTCTAAAATACAGATATTTAAGGAATCTACGCTGCACCTTTTCAATATTGTTTATATGTATATTATAGTAAGGGAACCAGACCACATTTGCGTATTCCATTTTGGTTCTTACCAGTGCAATAAAAAGGGAAATTAACGTATTTGTATTCACAAAATCCTTTGAATTTCTGAGTATGTAGCCAAGGGACCTAAAGCACGCAGAGACTATATAATCGAAGTGAGCAATAAAAGACAATTTACTGTCAAACTTAACTCCTAAGTCATGAACAATGTTTGGTCTCGAGACTAACTCACCGAATATGCTGTAATCAAAATAGATAGAATTTTTCATTTTAGAGAAAGACATAACGTAGCATTTTGTTTTATTGACTGGCAATTCATTAACTTTGCACCAATTTAAGACTTGATTTAGGTTGCCATGTAACTTCACACAATCTGCCGTTGACTTCACTTTTGTGAATATTTTTAAATCGTCAGCATATAGTAAATAATCAACATTCAGGATGTGACTTATATCATTGATAAACACGGAAAACAGAAGTGGCCCCAACACCGACCCCTGTGGCACTCCAGAAGTTGGAAATACATCCTTTGATGAGCATCCACTGCAATAGACAAACTGTTTCCTAGCACAAAGATAAGAGTGAAAAACCTTAAGTAGCGCTGGTGAGAATCCAATGACACCAAGTTTATACAACAAAATATTGTGACTTATTTTGTCAAAGGCTTTCGAAAAGTCCATGTAAATGACATCCGTCTGACCGCCCTCATCAATTGACTCACTTAGGAATTGAGTTAAAGACACTAAATTTGTCACTGTAGACCTGCCATGCATAAATCCATGTTGGTTTTCAGAAATATTACTTTTTAAGTGAAAATAAATGTTATTAAAAATCACCATTTCAAAGATTTTAGCGAAATTATTTATTAAAGCAATTGGTCGATAGTTTTCGATAGCCTTACGATCACCCTTCTTCAATATCGGAACAATTTTAGAAATCTTCCACAACTTCGGAATTACACCACCTGTTAAGATTTTATTGAACAAGATAAACAACGGCTTTACCAATGTGGGAGAACAGTCTTTTAAGAAAATAGATGGAATTCTGTCTGGACCAGCGGTATTTTTCCGTTTCAATTTTTCCAAAGCTGCACTGATTTCGTTTTCCGTTATGTTAGGAATGTGTAACACTCCACTACAAATATCTGGTCCATCACCACTGAAATTTGAAGGTGGATTGAAAACCGATTGAAAGTATGTTGCAAAAGCATCAGCAATATTTTTTGGACCTGATATCAGAGATTTATCATATGTCATTGTGGACGGGATGTTACTACTGCCTTTTTTCAAATTCACATACCTCCAAAATTCCTTAGGATTATCTACCATATCTTTTTCAACCTTAGCATTAAAAATTTTGTATTCACCCGATATTTTAATTTTAAGCTGTTTACGCAACTCCTTGAAAACCTGCCAATCATCTTGACTGTTGTATTTTCGGCATTTTCTATAAATCCGATACTTTTTACGAACCATTTTTATTATTTCTGGCGTAAACCAAGGAGGGAATGTATATTTCCGATTTGTGTACTTCGGCACATACTTGTCTAGTACAGAGTATAAGATATTATAAAATATATCACAAGCTGTATCTACATCTGAGCACATTTCTAAAGATTTCCAACTTACTTCCATGAGAGCTTCGTATAAAGAATTTAGATCAGCTTTATGGAAATTATAACTAGAGCTTGACGAATTAGGAAGGTTTCTATTTGCAGTCTTCTGAAATTTTATTGTTGCCATCAGAGACGGATGATGCGGGTCTTCATCAACAAGAACATCGGAAGCTTTAGTTACAATAGGATCTATATTTGAAAGAACTAAATCAAGTATTCTGCTATAGACATTAGGTACAAAGTTAAGCTGTTTTAGATTTAAAAAATTACTAAGATTTTTCAAATGACTAACTTTCTGTGAAATATACTCAGGAGGATTATTCTGTACAAAGTCAGGAAGATTAAAGTCACCCACAATGACAATATCTGCACCTACAATAAAATCTAGCGAACCAAAAGCTTCAAAAAACATCTGATAAAATTTAACAGGTTGTGCAGGTGGAACATACAATAGAAAAATGTAAAATTTATTGAATTTGAACTATATTTCAACGTTTTTTGATGGTTCTGAGCCACCAAACACACTTAAAGCATGCAGAATCGACTCAGAATAGGAAAAGGAGACGTTTAGGTCAATTTTATGCATTCTGGCGTTCGTAGATACAAGAAAACTGTTAAAATTCTTCAGAAACGTCACTTTTGAAGTGTTTTCTTGTACTTTTAAGCCAATCAGATACCCTACGGGCTCGGAAAGTGCAACGAGACCATCAAATTTTAGCTAGAAACTGTATTTTTGTCGATTTTTATTGAATTTGAACTATATTTCAACGTTTTTTGATGGTTCTGAGCCACCAAACACACTTAAAGCATGCAGAATCGACTCAGAATAGGAAAAGGAGACGTTTAGGTCAATTTTATGCATTCTGGCGTTCGTAGATACAAGAAAACTGTTAAAATTCTTCAGAAACGTCACTTTTGAAGTGTTTTCTTGTACTTTTAAGCCAATCAGATATCCTACGGGCTCGGAAAGTGCAACGAAACCATCAAATTTTAGCTAGAAACTGTATTTTTGTCGATTTTTATTGAATTTGAACTATATTTCAACGTTTTTTGATGGTTCTGAGCCACCAAACACACTTAAAGCATGCAGAATCGACTCAGAATAGGAAAAGGAGACGTTTAGGTCAATTTTATGCATTCTGGCGTTCGTAGATACAAGAAAACTGTTAAAATTCTTCAGAAACGTCACTTTTGAATTGTTTTCTTGTACTTTTAAGCCAATCAGATACCCTACGGGCTCGGAAAGTGCAACGAAACCATCAAATTTTAGCTAGAAACTGTATTTTTGTCGATTTTTATTGAATTTGAACTATATTTCAACGTTTTTTGATGGTTCTGAGCCACCAAACACACTTAAAGCATGCAGAATCGACTCAGAATAGGAAAAGGAGACGTTTAGGTCAATTTTATGCATTCTGGCGTTCGTAGATACAAGAAAACTGTTAAAATTCTTCAGAAACGTCACTTTTGAAGTGTTTTCTTGTACTTTTAAGCCAATCAGATACCCTACGGGCTCGGAAAGTGCAACGAAACCATCAAATTTTAGCTAGAAACTGTATTTTTGTCGATTTTTATTGAATTTGAACTATATTTCAACGTTTTTTGATGGTTCTGAGCCACCAAACACACTTAAAGCATGCAGAATCGACTCAGAATAGGAAAAGGAGACGTTTAGGTCAATTTTATGCATTCTGGCGTTCGTAGATACAAGAAAACTGTTAAAATTCTTCAGAAACGTCACTTTTGAAGTGTTTTCTTGTACTTTTAAGCCAATCAGATACCCTACGGGCTCGGAAAGTGCAACGAAACCATCAAATTTTAGCTAGAAACTGTATTTTTGTCGATTTTTATTGAATTTGAACTATATTTCAACGTTTTTTGATGGTTCTGAGCCACCAAACACACTTAAAGCATGCAGAATCGACTCAGAATAGGAAAAGGAGACGTTTAGGTCAATTTTATGCATTCTGGCGTTCGTAGATACAAGAAAACTGTTAAAATTCTTCAGAAACGTCACTTTTGAAGTGTTTTCTTGTACTTTTAAGCCAATCAGATACCCTACGGGCTCGGAAAGTGCAACGAAACCATCAAATTTTAGCTAGAAACTGTATTTTTGTCGATTTTTATTGAATTTGAACTATATTTCAACGTTTTTTGATGGTTCTGAGCCACCAAACACACTTAAAGCATGCAGAATCGACTCAGAATAGGAAAAGGAGACGTTTAGGTCAATTTTATGCATTCTGGCGTTCGTAGATACAAGAAAACTGTTAAAATTCTTCAGAAACGTCACTTTTGAAGTGTTTTCTTGTACTTTTAAGCCAATCAGATACCCTACGGGCTCGGAAAGTGCAACGAAACCATCAAATTTTAGCTAGAAACTGTATTTTTGTCGATTTTTATTGAATTTGAACTATATTTCAACGTTTTTTGATGGTTCTGAGCCACCAAACACACTTAAAGCATGCAGAATCGACTCAGAATAGGAAAAGGAGACGTTTAGGTCAATTTTATGCATTCTGGCGTTCGTAGATACAAGAAAACTGTTAAAATTCTTCAGAAACGTCACTTTTGAAGTGTTTTCTTGTACTTTTAAGCCAATCAGATACCCAACGGGCTCGTAAAGTGCAACGAAACCATCAAATTTTAGCTAGAAACTGTATTTTTGTCGATTTTTATTGAATTTGAACTATATTTCAACGTTTTTTGATGGTTCTGAGCCACCAAACACACTTAAAGCATGCAGAATCGACTCAGAATAGGAAAAGGAGACGTTTAGGTCAATTTTATGCATTCTGGCGTTCGTAGATACAAGAAAACTGTTAAAATTCTTCAGAAACGTCACTTTTGAAGTGTTTTCTTGTACTTTTAAGCCAATCAGATACCCTACGGGCTCGGAAAGTGCAACGAAACCATCAAATTTTAGCTAGAAACTGTATTTTTGTCGATTTTTATTGAATTGGAACTATATTTCAACGTTTTTTGATGGTTCTGAGCCACCAAACACACTTAAAGCATGCAGAATCGACTCAGAATAGGAAAAGGAGACGTTTAGGTCAATTTTATGCATTCTGGCGTTCGTAGATACAAGAAAACTGTTAAAATTCTTCAGAAACGTCACTTTTGAAGTGTTTTCTTGTACTTTTAAGCCAATCAGATACCCTACGGGCTCGGAAAGTGCAACGAAACCATCAAATTTTAGCTAGAAACTGTATTTTTGTCGATTTTTATTGAATTTGAACTATATTTCAACGTTTTTTGATGGTTCTGAGCCACCAAACACACTTAAAGCATGCAGAATCGACTCAGAATAGGAAAAGGAGACGTTTAGGTCAATTTTATGCATTCTGGCGTTCGTAGATACAAGAAAACTGTTAAAATTCTTCAGAAACGTCACTTTTGAAGTGTTTTCTTGTACTTTTA